CCCCAAAACATCTCCCGGAAAACCATCCGCTCGACGACCTTTGGGCGTGTTCTTTGCTCTGTTCTTTCCAAGTGGCATTCCTGCAGTGATCAAGATGGCCAACACACAGGAGACCCACAGGAACACCGTGGCAGCTGAGATCCTGAGTACCCGACCCCGCCCAACCAAAACAGCACGAAGAGGGATTGGGTCAAACCGAGATCAGCGTTGAAGAAGCAAGCCAGGGCTTTGGTCGGGTTTCCAGTTCCTCTTCTTTGCCTAGCTGCTCAACTCATCTCAAAACGCCCCGCTCTTCTTCAACGAGTTCGGTCCAAAAGTGAGTCTCTTGACGTGAACGGATCGGCCAGGGCGTTCCACGAGTCCAAGCATGTTTGTCCTCTTCTCAAAGAAGAGAGAACCCGCGCCCCTCCGCGCCCAGCAAAGCAACAGGGAGATCCCGTCGAAAGCAGAGCCGCCATTGAGGCGGCTGAACACGTGAACCTCCCTTCGTCCGTTCGCACAGCGTCGAAGAACGGTGGCGGTCCAGGAAGGCCGGTCGACGGGATCTGAGGGAACGGAACAGCAAATTGCTTTGATCCATTGCCACGGCTCATTTTCGGTGGGCGCGTTTTGCGCCCCAAACCCCGACATCCAAGCGAGGAACATCACTTCATCGTCTTTTGGTGTCACATATGGCACAAAGGTTCTTTGTTTTGCAAAATATGCAGGGCCATTCGAGAAAGACAGGCGCTTGCAGCCATGGCTCATGAAGCGGCATTCCTGGTTCCAGACTCTCTTGAAGCTCTCCTGGTGTTCCACCACGAAACTGCTCAAGCCTGAGTGTTTTGAGGAGCGAAGAGACGGACATCTCAACTGGATCGGGTCAAGGTGAAACACATCGATCCATCCAAGCAAAAGTGGATTCAACAGATTCAATACAATGCAAAGAACGTGGTCAAAGAGGTCCGTCGCTCTAAGCAAGGGTCTTCAATGCAGTGATGCTCAAATCAGCTGGGGCAAACGTAGTGTCACTCATTATACGGTGCTGCTGGTTGTTGTCCCTAAGGCTGCAACAAAGTAACAACAAGAACAGGCCGATCTCCAGGTTGCCCTCAAAAGGACCCATCCTTAAGGGTCGATGGATTCTATGGACGTTGCCTCCTAGAGCCCAAGCAGACTTTCGTTTGTTTTACCCACCCTCTCAAATGCTTATCACAAGGTCTTGGCTTTGGAAATAGACCAGCAGGTAAGAACTGTGAACGAGAATATGCATTGATTTAGATGACCATGTCGGACCATGTCTGCAGTAGTATGCCACCACAAAATTGCAGTGTCAAAAAACAAACATCAGGTGTGGGTCAAAAGCTGCAAGACACGGGGAAAGAAACCAACAGGTCTGATCGTCTTTTTGAGATTCCTTCTGGCAGCTCAGACTTCTACGTGTGCCACGTGAAATCCTTCAGCAAGAAAACGCTTCTGAAAAGCATCGGGAGTAAGACTCATGACAGAAGCCAGTTTCATGGTCTCATTTCGACCTGCTAGAACACTTAAACGCCAGGTAAGCCGGTGATGGCTGTAGCCCAGAATTTGTGGACATCTGGCAATCAGTTGTGCAGAATAGTCTGGACCAAAGGCACCGACCAGCAGAATGTATTTAGGCTTACAATTCTTCTCAATGCTGTAACCCAGCACTGGAGGATGAGTGGCGACCGCCTTGGCAACTTGACGTCTGCTCAGACCCAATCTCACCAGCCACTGGACTGTGGGCTTCAAGTTCTGCTCGATGCTGTAGCCAAGGA